CGTGTGTGTGTGTGTGTGTGTGTGTGTGTGTGTGTGTGTGTGTGAGCGTGTATGAGTGTGCGTGTAGCTCGTTCTAATCCGTCTTGTTTTGTTTCGTCACCCTTCGCTTAGGGACAGTACGGAAAATACAAGACACGGTTGCGTGCGGGAAACGTTACGATTAAGAGCACGGTATATGTTCTGAAAGTATATCTTATACATTGCCGGTTCTTTCGGAAAAAGAAAACACCCTCGATCGAGGCGCGCTCATGCATATTGACGAGGAAGTGTCCGTAACAATCAGCATTGCGGCGGAAGGTGGAGACTCTTAAATTACGCTCATCTCTGTATATGAAAGTATTTCCATTTAATTCTTTTAATTATTCAATTTGCCTTGTAATGCCGAAGTAATATCGAAGTAAAATTGTTGACATTAACTATTGATACTTGACTTTAAATCACGAGCAATTATAATCGTTACAATTTCTCGCACTGAAATATTCGATATTCAGTTTTCTCTGCAAATCGTTTATTTAAGAATCTCTTTATTTTTCAATTATATTCATAGATCATCTCTGTGTACAAGAATATTTAATTTTTTTATTTAACGTTTAATTATTTAAATTATAAGCTTAATAACGAAATAAAATCAACCCTCTGTTCTGTTCGAATTTACTACTCGATTACATATCATTTGGATCAACATTGATTAAGAAACATGGTAAGAAAAACAAAAAATATGTTTTCATAAAAAAATATTTTTATAAAAATAACAGTTTTATATTGATAAAAGTTATCAAAATGTAAAAAAATATTTTAAATAGAATATTGAAAAGAAATCAAATACATTGTGGATCGAACAGAAGCAGAGTTAAATTATCAATACTCGATTGAGAAAAAGTTGCACAATTGAACAAATTGAATAATTATGATGGTCATCGCAATTTTTCCACATTGGAAACAGTTTAGTGGTTGAACAATTCATCGAAACTTGTATTCATTCACAACTTTATAATATAATAACATTCGCAAGTGTAGATGACTATGCGGTTATTTTGCAGGAAAATATATTAACGCTAATCAACTTAAGAAAGATACATCTTTGTAAAATAAATTTTTTCTTACTTATAAAAGAATTGTTTTTCCCGACATTTTGGTCAGTATTAATAAACTTTTTCTCATATCCGTACATCATGATTTAAGGACGATAATATATCCGACTTCGTAATGTATCCGACAGTCGTAATAACACAGCCATTTAACAAAACTATTTTAACGGCGTAATACAAATCGATAATTACTATGAGAGAATGGCTGAAGAGAAATTTACATTTCGGTACTCTTTGTACAAATCACGTCGTGTCGATATCAGTAACGAGCTTTCGTAGTCAGTTCCATTTTGCTGAACAAACATTCTCGGTCGATTCAATCAAGATTTCTTGCGTTCGCTTCGTACTGAGAATGAGAATGGACCTTCGAGCCGAAGGTATCCCAACTCAGGCGAGAAGATTTTACGCGTTGGCGTGAAAATATTGAAATTATATTTTCCATTTGTGGAACAACTTATTATCTGTCGATGTTAAGGCTCGATAATTAACTTTCCAGGAGAATGCGTGA